CATTCATATCTCTTCCCGGAAAATGTCAACTTGTCTGAGCATTTTTTTTTATTTCTCAGTCCCTCCAGAAAAATGCCTCGAACCTTATATCAGACCAGTACTGCTTATTTACAAATACCTCCTAATTCGTTATTCATTAACCGTCCTATTATTTGACACTGTATGGGCTCAGCCAATGCCAAGAGTCGTTAAATAAACCACAAATTAAAAAACAAAGTTTTAAACGAATTCTCAAAGTTTTGTTTTCCAAGTCGTTTGTGATGCTAATTGAAGCGTTCAACTACAGATAAAACACGTGTAATGGTTAACGTAACGTTAAATATTGTACTGAAGGCAACGTGAAGAAATGAAATAACGAAGTATATTATTTTGATCCTTGAATAATTTCATTACCGTTGCGAAAAAGAATAGAAATATTTTTAAGGCACGTCAGCATATCGATGACAACACAACGGACCGGTCGGTGCTGGCTCCGTGTCAGCAGTCAGACGACAGTTCATGGGAAAGACAAATTGGTGCAGAAGACCTCAGAGGTCTGCATTTCTTCCGGGAATGCTTAGACATTTATGATTTTCGGCTGTGGAATAAAGAACGGATGAAGCTGTCTCGTCATTGCCGGTACACTGACTTGCTCTGTCGTCTTGTTAATGTTAATGAATTGACTCTTATGAGAAGTAGACTTCGCGACTGTTCAGTTTGTAAGTTATAAGAAATTGTTTGTAATGCAGACTTAAGTGTTAGCAAACACGCCTGATAGGCGACATGTTTTGTTATTAGTTATCTGGTTTAATCGACATTACTTCAAGTAATAAATATGTTGAAGACTGTCTTCTGGAATGTTCCTCAGCATCTCAGAAGACAGTCTCATTCATATTTGCCTCCTTCAAAATCACAAGTATCACTAAATAAATACGTTATTTATAGCAAAAATTGCGACGTATTCCAGAAACATGTCTTAACTTGTAGGATGGAATCTGAGATCAGAAACAATTGATAAACAGCATATAAATATGGACCGATCATACAAACCCAGAGTTCACTGAGGATGCCGTAAATTGACAGGAAAGGAAACGAAGAGCTGTCACTTAATTGTAACAT